AGTCCAATAGGGCAGCACAGTCGTAAGTCATTGAAGGCTGTCAGGACGTTATTGAGGAAGCAGGCTAGAGGTGGGAAATCCAGCAGGGCCATGGGGGGCTGCAGTGTGCCCGGCTGGGTGCTCGGGACCGCCGGAGGAATGGTGCTTCCAAGTATCGACGGCAGAGAAATTAGTGTGTACAAGTTCATTTCCTCTTGGAACTTGTCCACTGCTTCCTGAATAGCCTTCCGGAACGTCTCCATGGCAACCTGCTGAAATATGGGAGCGAGTTGGCCACGGAAATCCGCCCCGACCCGGCTAAAGGAAAGCCCGAAGTACATGCACTGGCCGAGCAGAGAGTCCAAACGGCTTCCCACCCCACGCTGGAGGTCCCGATCGAGGGTCTCCAAGAACTGCGCCGCCTGCTGCACCACCCAGCCGTGAAAGATGGCGCTCTCGTTCAACGCCTGATCACCGGGCGGCAGCAACGGATCCTCGTCGGAGAATATGGCGCGATACTGGGTGATGATGTCGAAGAGATGTACGCGGCAGGTTTCGATGGTTTTGGTAATGTGGAAGTACGGGTCTTCATCCGGGATGGCGGCGAGAATGGATCGCAGCCAACTTCCACGGGCTTGCAGGAACTTGACGCGCAGCTCGGCTTCGGTGAAAACATCCATTCTGCGCAAGTATCCGATCACGCGCAGGCAAACCGGCAGCTGTGTATTACTACGCAGTTGTTGAAGTAGTTGGTTCAGCATGAGCTGAGCAGACAGTCGAACCTCGTGCACAATTCCCTAAAAGAACACAAACAGCAATGTAATTTAGTAGAAATATTTGCCATTTTTCAGTCATTTTTATTGTCCATTTTATAGTCTTATCACTCATAAGAGTACAACAAATGCACATTTTCTGGAATTTTAGTTGTTACATTATCATAAGAAACACGCTACGATTTATGTTCCAAAGCGATGGAAAATAAGTACAACATTTAATTAATGACTACATTTATTTTAAAATTAATTGAATTAATTGTGTTTGTTTTATCTAGCCATTTATTCCTTTATTTATTTTCCTACTGTTACATTTATTTATGTATTTAAAAAAAAATTCAGGTTTGGTCCTATCCATTTGTATAGTGCATTTCTCACAAACTGATAGTTTCAGAGTCACTTTTGACTAAATCTGTTTAGGTTTGGCATTTATAATCAATTTTGTTTATAATGTAACTATAATGTCTGTGTGTTTTATACTTTTCAATCCTGTTCTGAATAGAGGTTAGAGTGATAGTTCACCCAAAAATTTACATTTTGTAATTATTTATTCACTCTCAAGTTGTTCCAAACCTGTATGCATTTCTTTCTTCTGTTGAACATAAAAAAGATATTTTAAGAATGTTGTCAAAGTCAATGAATGCTTTTTTGTATACTTTGGAAGTCAAAGGCTACCATCAATTGTTTGGTTACCAACATTCTTCAAAATATCTT